TGTTGAACTTGTGATGGAAATCAATCAGAGACTGCACGGTTTTGGTTCAAATGATAAAGATGTCATCTATATATCTTAGGTATAGCATGGGTTTGATGGTGCAGTTCTTGAGGAATTCTTTTTCCAGGTGGGCCATAAAAAGGTTGGCATATAGTGGGGCCATTTTGGTGTCCATAGCTGTGCTCATGGTCTGGAGGAAGTGTTGGTTGTTGGAAGTGAAGTTGTTGTGTGTGAGGATGAAGTGTATAAATTCAGTAATATCTTGCGGTCTGTACTCTGAGTTGTAATCTTGCTCTTGTAGACATGTGAGGCAGCCTTGGATACCATCCTGGTATGGGTAAACTGGTAAACAATATAAATTGGTAAATAAATAAATAAATAAATTGGTAACATCCATGGAGACTAGAAGCACATTGCTGGGAAGGTGTTCTATATTTTTAAGTTTTTGCAGGAAGTCTGTTGTAACTTGGATAAAACTTGGTCTTTGGATGACAAGTGGTTTTCTGATGGATTTGATGATACCTGATATTTCTTCAGTTAGGGTTCCATGGTTGGAAATTATAGGTGTGCCAGGGTTCCCTTGTTTGTGGATTTTAGGGAGCATGTAAAAAGTCCCTGGATTGGGTTGTGGAGAGATCAGGGTCTGAAGTTGTCTTGTAGTTCAGATGGAAATGATATGAAGGTGGTTTTGAGTTTTGAGGTGAAAAGGGGAGTTGAATTTTCCTCTAGTTTTTCATAGTAGGTGGTGTCAGAGAGCTTTCTGTTGGCTTCTTTTATGTAGTCTTCATGTTTAAGGATAATTATAGTTCCTCCTTTATCTGCTGGTTTTATTACTATTTGGTGGTTGAATCTTAGATATGTTACATTTTAGATTATATTAAGTTAGATTAGGTTGAATCTTAGAGATTCCAGTACATTCCCTCACATATTTGCCTCCCTTCCCCACCCCCTCCCATCCTACCTATACCTATTGTCTTCCAAAGTACCACTCATTTGCATTTTTACAGACCTACATGTTACAAATTAACTTCTTTTTTTTACCTTGGAGGACACACAACACCAGCAGAGTCTCCCTATGCCTGAAGGAGGGTGTTTGTGCCCGAAACCTTGCAAACATTTTTTCCCAACAATTTAGTTGGTCTAATAAAAGATATCACATCTACCCAAAGAACCTTGCCTGCCTGTACAAAAATGCACGAGCTTACTAAGAGCTGAACATTCCACAGCTGTGTTACAAAGTATGCGGTACATTTTGATCACGCAGGGAGTTAATTCAGAAAATAAGCACGAGTTTGTTGTCAGTCTGAATTCTAGCAAGTTGTTTTCTTATCAGTACAAATCTCATCAAGACAGTTATTTTTTCAATAAAACCTTAGCAAGGTTGTTTTCTAGTACTATAAATCCTAGAAAGTAAAAACGTTACTTCTTATCAGTAAAAATGTTATCATCTGTGTTGTTTCCCAATCTTCTAAAAACCACATCGCAGCAATATGCAAACTATAAATAGCCAACACATCACACAGTGCAATTTACAAAGCACAATCACTCTTTAATTCCCAGGAGGTCTAAAACTCATTGCGAAAGAGCATTAATGGCACAATGAATTTGAGCATATCCTCAGGGCTATAAAATGGAATTTTAGATAGAGAAAGAGTTCTAATAGGATTCTAACACTGTAAGGGAGGGCCACCTTCTTCCTTGTTCCCACAGCCAAGAGAGCTGGCTGTACTTTAAAGAAACCTTACTGAAGGCACAGGAACACACCATCCTGATGTACAGGAAGATTAGCAAGTATGGCAGAAGGCCAGCTTGGCTTAGCAGGAAAATCTCCAGTGAGCTAGACCACAAAAAGGAAGTTTATAAGATGTAGAAACTTGCACAAACAAATAGGGAGAAATATAAAAGTGTTGCTTGGGCATGCAGGGATGAAATCAGGATGACTAAAGCACACCTGCAGTTACAACTAGCAAGGGATGTGAAGGGTAACGAGAAGGATTTGTACAAGTATGTCAGCAACAAGAGGAGGATCAGGGAAAGTGTGAGTTCTTTATTAAATTGGGGAGGCAGCCTAATGATAAAAGATGCAGAAAGGGCTGGAGTGCTCAATGCCTATTTCGCATCGATCTCCACAGGCAAGGTCAGCTCCCAGGCTACTGTACCTGGCAGCACAGTTTGGGGAAGAGGTGAGCAGCTAACATTGGTAAAATAACAGGTTAGGGACTATTTAGAAAAAGCTGGACATGTACAAGTCCATGGGACAAGGTGGCGATGCACCCGAGGGTTCTGAGGGAGTTGGCTGATGTGCTTGCAGAGCTGCTGGCCATCATCTTGAAAACTGTGGCAATTGAGAGAAGTCCTAGATTATTGAAAAAGGGCAAATATAGTTCCCATATTTAAGAAAGGGAAGAAGGAGAATCCAGGAAACTACACACCAGTTAACCTCACCTCAGTCCCTGGAAAAATCATGGAGCAGTCTCTTAAGAAATCCATTTCTAAGCACTTGGAGGAAAAGATGATTAGGAACAGTCCATGTGGATTCACCAAGGGCAAGTCATGCCTGACCAACCTGATTGCCTTCTATATCAAGATGATTGGTTCATTTGATGAGGGGAGACCAGTGGATGTGATATACCTTGACTTTAGCAAGGCTTTTGATACGGTCTCCCATAACATTCTCACAAGCAAGCTAAGGAAGTACAGGTTGGATGAATGGACTATAAAGTGGATAGAAAACTGTCTGGATCATCAGGCTCAGAGGGTAGTAGTCAATGGCTTGATGTCTAGTTTGTAGCCTGTATCAAGTGGAGTGCCTCAGGGCCAGTCCTGGGGCCAGTTTTGCTCAGTATCTTCATTAATGACTTGAAAGATAGAGTGCACCCTCAGCAATTTTGTAGATGATACCAAGCTGGAAACAGTAGTAGATATGCTGGAGGGTAGGGCTAGGATTCAGAGAGACCTCAACAAATTGGAGGGGTGGACCAAAAGAAATTTCATGCAGTTCAATAAGGACAGGTTCAAAGTCCTTCACTTAGGACAGAACAATCCCATGCACCAGTACAGGCTGGGAACTGACAGGCTAAACAGCAGCTCTGCAGAAAAGAACCTGGGGGTTACAGCGGACAAGAAGCTGAACATGAGCTAACCGTGGGCCCTTGTTGCGAAGAAGCCTAACAGCATACTGGGCTTCATTGGTAGGAAAGTTGCCAGCAAATCAAAGGAAGTGATTATTTCAGATACCTTGTTCCAGATGGACCCAAACCCTCAGACCCACCACGACCTCTCACTTAGATAGGCAAAGTTTATTGATACACAGTGATAGCAGATAAGAATAATTCAAACACTTCCAGATACCTACCAGTCCCAGGGTTCACAGAGTCAAGGTACATCTGGCAAGTATGCAAGCTTCACTCTGAGGTTCTCTCTTGAATGTCAGATGTCAGCAGCTGAGGTTAAATGCTGAGCACCCCCCCCCCAGTGGACTGGGTCAGATGGGCTGGTGGGATGCCCTCTGCCCATGGTGGCCTCAGGTTCCCCTTTTGGGGACCCTTTCCTGTTCTGAAATCCCTCCTTTTGCATCTTTTTCCCTCTATGATGACTCTTCACCTTTCGGCATCGCTGACTGGTCTCTCCATGGTCATCATACTGTTCACGTTCTGACCTGTCAGCATATTCCTTTGTTTCACAAACCCATCACATGCACACATCCTAATTTGGGCTTTTTCTGGGCCTCCTAATTTGGTCTGTTCCCCCAAACCGGAAATTTCAAGGGCAAAGGCACATTCCACTATCATTCTGCAACTACTTACATGGTAATTTTAAATAATTCCATTCAACAATCCCACTGTCCTGTAACAGGTTTCATCCCCCATCGTAGTAGACAGTAAACAAGTCTCTCAGAATAAAAGGATGAATTCTAACATCACAACTGTCCATTAAAGCACCCTTTCTTCATTAGAGAAAATGGGCGAGAGTTCCAGAAAAAAAATTTTTAGGCCTTGGAGCTCAATGAAGAAGTACTCCTCCTTTCTGTTTGTGAACTCTAAAGCCAATTTAGGGACAAATAATAGGAAGGAGGTTGTGTCTGTTGCCTCAAAGCAACTCGAGAATATTGTGTGTGCAAAGCTATCAGTAACCTCTTAAGGAGTAGCAAACTTCAGGACACAAGGCAATGGTATTTTTTTTAATAGTAGTACACACTTGTCATGTAAACCCCAAAAGCCAATCTGCTCAGGTGAGCTGGTTAGCAAATGATGGTAGCAGTCAAAGGTTGTGAGGATCTAGATAATGATGAACATGCTTATAAATAGATAAAGAAGCTGCCGTACCAATGCACTGCATCTTTTGCTCTCTGGGGTAAGTGTTTATTCCTATTGCCATTTTGAAGTTCTATAGCCTCTGCCAGTCATCCTGATTCTGAAGCACAATCTTTTTCAAATGCTGCTTCTCAGGCCCAGAAATGACACTACATGGAGTGAAACTGTCCTAAGGAAAGCTTCTTTTGAAACAGCTACTCAAGCTCATCATGGTCTTCCTCATTCCTCTCCCTGTTCTCATGCACATCCTTGTTCTCTGGGTTGTTGGAGAGCTTAGAAGTGAGGCTCTTGGCTTGTAAAGCTGTAGCTGTCTAGCAGGAACATCTCTGATACACCTGCATTTTCTGGCACCATGCATGTCTGACTATCAACATCACAGCAGCGTTGTTCTGTCCACAACTCAGTACAGAGTTTGAAAATGTACCTGAAAAAGGATGGATCATGGGATGGCAAGACAGAAAACATGGGATTTTTACAATTTGATCTGAAGGAATTGAATGTAGTGACTACTTTCTAGCTTCCATTGGATGTACCAGAGGACAGTGCATAAAGTCCAACAACAGTGCAAAGGAATGTGTCACTAATGTTGCACACAGCATAGAGCACATACTTCAGAGGAAATCAGCCTTGCAGTGACTCACAGTAAAGTAAAAATATGCGTGCAGTTTAAAAAGCACCTGCCACCGGCAAAGCGGCAGTTTGTCCCCCGGCTTCAGCGAGAGATGAACGGGTGGAAGCCCGCTGCGCCCCCGTTGAGGCTAGGGACCCCCAGAGCACCCCAGTGGGACCCTGACCCAGACCTCCAGTGCAACCGGAGGTAGGTGAGGCCTGTGGCAGGGAGGGAGGGACCTCCAACCCAGTCAGCTGCAGGCCAGCTAACTGGGAGCCAAGGAGGGACATGCCCCCCCCCCCCAGCTCCTACTTCGCCCAGCCCCCAGGGAACCATGTGACCGGAGCCTCATGAACAGGACGCGCAAACAGGTGTGCTCGTCTGCCCGGTGTATGAGTTAGCTCGGGAGTTCGTGCGGAAGGGTGAGCGGGAGGGCCCAAGGCCCTGCCAGTGAGCCCTAGGGAAGTTAGTCCCAGCAGTAGCCGGGCTACCCGCGGCACAATGCGGATGGGCACATGCCGCACCCCAAGGGTCCCCTCGGAGTCTGCGGCCTCCCCCTGTGGCACATCTGAGGTCTCCACCCAGAAGGAACCCATGGTTCTGGGCTCCACACACATGGAGCCCCTGGCTCTCGGCTAAGGGGCTGCCTGGCATGTTTCCAGGCACACGGGACTGGGAGCATGGCCACCTCCCCTTGAGAGGTTTGCTCCACTTTGGAGTCTCTGGGGCGCCAGATAGAGGAGCTCCAGGCCACAGTCCGGAGACTGTGTGCTATCAGGGATGACGAGCAGGAGATAGACTGCTACTGCCAGGCCTTTCACCCCCTGGAGGTGGAGGGTAGACCAAGGTCACCTTCCAGGTCAAGGGAGGACTTGGGGATCTCCAATACTGTCCAGCTAGGGGCTGGGCCAAGGTGGTCAGTGGCTACAAGGCCTGCTGCACCAAGGTCCCCGCCCCTCTGATGCTTTGCAACAGGTAATGAACCTCTTGCAGCCCCAGTAGAACCTGCAGAGTTGCCAGCTCTTGCAGGCAACACAGACTCATCCTCAGCTACCATCCCTGCTCTCCCTAAGGCCACTCATAGAGTGGTCATCATGGGAATCTCCCTCCTGAGGGGGACTGAGGGCACAATCTGCTGCCCTGACCCCTTAGCCTGGGAGATCTGCTGCTTCCCGGGATCCTGTATCCGGGATGTAGCCGAGGAGATCCTAAAACTCATTCAGCCCACCCACCACTACCCTATGCTCCTTATCCACATGGGCACAAATTATGTGGCTTGGAGCAATCCCAGCCAGGTCATGAGGTGCTACAGGGCTTTGGGAGCAGGGCTTAAGGAGTTGGGGGCACAGGTAGTGTTTTCCTCGATCCTCCCAGTTTCGGGTTATGAGCTGAGAAGGTAGAGGAGGATCCAGGTAGTCAACCAGAGACTGCGGTGCTGGTGTCATCGTGAAGGCTTTGGCTTCCATGATCACAGTCTGCTCTTTGGTGAGAGAGGCAATGGTCTGCTGGAAAGAGACGGCCTTCACCTCACTCCGCTGGGGAGGAGGCTCTTCTCAGCCACACTGGCTGACCTGCTTGACCGGGCTTTAAACTAAGCCTGCTGAGGGATGGGTGGATAACCGCTAATACAAGCCCACTAGGCAGCTACTGCATAACCAGCAAGTTAGGGCACCCAAGGGAATCCACACCTACCCCAGCCCTGGAACAGTGTCTACCTGAGAGTTCAAGGAAGCCTAGGGCTTACAATGGGACACTTACATGTCTGTACACCAATGCCAGGAACTTGAGGAACAAACAGGAGGAACTGGTCCTGCCGATAAGCAAGAAAGACTATGATCTCATAGGGATAATGGAGACATGGTGGGACTCCATCTATGACTGGACCACAGGTATAGCTGTCTATACCCTGTACAGGAGAGATCGTGCAGATAAAGGGGGTGGGGGTGTAGCTCTCTATGTCAAGGAAAGCTACACGTCCCTGAAAATTGACATTGGCATAAAAGGAGGATGACTAGAGTCCCTCTGGGTTAAAATATGTGGGGAACATGGCACAGGGAACATCATGGTAGGAGTCTACTAGAGACTTCCTAACCAGAAACAAGAGCTAGACCAGGAATTTGCCAGGGAACTGGATGAGGCTGCACACTCTCAGTGCATGGTTGTCATGGGAGACTTTAGCTACCCAGACATCTCATGGGAAGAGTGCTCAGTCAAATCCGATTGGTCGCAAAGCTTCCTCACACACGTGGACAAGCTCTACCTGACTCGAAGAAGTCTATGGGCCCACAAGAGGTAAAGTGTTGCTGGACCTGGTACTGGCCAAAGGGGATGATCTAGTTAGTGACCTAAGAATCAATGGAAAGCTGGGTGATAGCGACCACAAGCTGATCACCTTTACTATCCATCGCAAAGCTGGCAAGTCAGTCAACAATGCAGAAGTCCTTGACTTTAGGAAAACTGACTTTGACAAGCTCAGGAAACTTGTTATCGAGGCTCTAAGGGACCATGACTCAACAGGAAGAGGAGTCCAAGAGGAGTGGTTGCTCCTCAAGGGAGCAATCCTGACAGCACAAGGGTTGTCCATCCCATCTCAGGGGAAGGGTAGCAAAAGGGCACAGCAACCCTCTTGGCTCAGCAGGGAACTCAAGGACCTCCTATGCCTAAAAAGAGAGACTTATAAAGGATGGAAGGCTGAAATAACCAACAAGGAGGAGTACTCAGAACTGGTCCATGCCTGCAGGGAGCGGACCAGGACAGCCAAGGTTGCAACCAAACTCCATCCGGCTTCACATATCAAAGATAATAAAAAGTCCTTTTTCAGATATGTAGGGAGTCAGAAAAAAGTAAGGGTAACATTGGACTCCGCTGAACCAAATAGGACAACTGATAACTGACACTTTGTCGCGGGTAGGTTTTGCCTGACCAGTCTTATCTCCTTCTATAACCAGGTAACAAATCAACTAGACAAGGGAGAAGAGATTGACATCATATATCTTGACTTTAAAAAAGCCTTTTATCTGGTTTCCCATGATCTCCTCATGGAAAAACTGGCCAACTGTGGCCTTGGCTACACCACAGTCTGATGGCTGGGAAATTGGCTCCAAGGTCGGACCCAGAGAGTAGTAGTTGATGGAAGCGAGTCACTGTGGTGTTCCATGACCAGTGGCATCCCCCAAGGCTCTGTCCTTGGACCAGTTCTCTTTAACACCTTTATCAACAATGTGGACATTTGTGTCAGAAGCGCACTGGTCAAGTTCGCCAATGACACTAAACTTTGGAGCATAGCATCCACACCTGAGGATAGGCTAGTGATCCAGGCTGACTTGGATAAGTTTAGTAAGTGGGTGGATATAAACCTGATGACGTTCGATACCAAAAAATGCAAGGTACTCCACCCTGGGAGAAACCCCCCCGCAGCATACTTATAGGCTTGGCAGTGCTACGCTCACTAGCACCACGACTGAAAGAGACTCAGGGGCCATAATTGACCACAAGATGAACATGAGCCACCAGTGTGATGTCACGGCTGTTAAAGCAAATAAAACTCTGGTTTGCATCCATAGATGCTTCTCAAGTAAATCTCAGGATGTTTTCCTTCCACTGTACTCAGCCTCGGTGAGGCTGGAGTACTGCATCCAATTCTGGGCTCCACAATTCAAGAAGGATGTCAAGAAGCTTGAGAGAGTCCAGAGGAGAGGCACGCGCATGATCAGAGGGCAAGAAAATAGACCTTATAATGAAAGGCTTAGAGCCATGGGACTCTTTAGCCTAGAAAAGCACAGGCTAAGGGGTGACTTGGTGGTTGCCTATAAGTACGTAAGGGGTGTACATCAGGATCTGGGGGAACATCTGTTCACCAGAGCACCCCAAGGGATAACAAGGACCAATGGTCATAAACTCCTCCATGACCATTTCAGGTTGGGCATAAGGAAAAACGTCTTTACTGTCCGAGCCCCCAAGGCCTGGAATAGACTCCCTCCAGAAGTGGTGCAGGCACCTACTCTGAACTCATTCAAGAAATGTTTGGATGCTTATCTTGCTGGGATCCTTTGACCCTAGCTGACTGCCTGCCCCTGGGGCAGGGGGCTGGACTTGATGATCTCTTAAGGTCCCTTCCAGCCCTAATGTCTATGAAATCTATGAAAAATAGGTTTTTTGTGTAGAAGTTGCTACTGTGTGCAAGGCAGTATGACGCAATTACTTCCTATGAATATTGCTTTGAAGTAAATCCTCTCCTACAGGCTAGCCCTTACTGCATTATGAAGTTCAGGATTCCATAGATACCTATGAAAATGTCAGGTTTTCTGAGAAACACTGAACATTTCTGCTAAGTAACCATATTAAATTAAATTTTCTTTACTTACAGTACATTGTTTTTTATTGGGCAATCGATCCTTGGTATGCCACAGATGAACAATAATTATAGGTCTAATGAGTTCAGGGTATTTGAAATCACTAGACAATATTCAAAATGTTATTTCTTCCTGCTGCAGACTATAAATCTCAAAACAGGAAATTGCATAAATAAACTTAGATTTTATAAAATCATAAGTGCTAAGACATTTGTAAGCATTAATTCATAAGACCTGATTTATACAAACACTCATCTGATGTTATATGATGGGGAAAAAACTCAAAGTTATGATATCTTGTTGCTGGAAGAACCAGATGGATCAGTTTAGCTTGTGGGCATCTTGTGCAATTCTCTACTTACTTAGTTCCAGACTTGTACATTTTGTTTCCAAGAAGAAAACAAAAAGTCTGTATTTAGTCTAGAAAGTTTCTTCCTGTTCTTTTAATATCATACACAAGCAGCAAATCAGTTGATTTTAAAATGTCAATCAAGAATAAAGCAACAGCCCCAAAATACTGCACCAATCTATGAGCAGTTGCAAAGGATTCATCTATTAAATTCTCAAAGTTCTTGGCAATGCTGGTTATATGACTTGAAGATGTGATTTTATATCAGTATACTTTTAGGTACTTTGCAAACTAACTAAAATGAGAAACTAAGAGAAGGAGTCCTACAAGCATTCTTATAGTCAGGTAAAACAAAAGCAAAAATGGTAATATGAACATGAGAGTGAATAGATTGGTGCACTTTGTGATGAAAAGGAAAATCTGTTGTGTACCAGGACTTCCTGCTATAAAGTGCTGATAATGAACTACATTTCCTCTGTGCATAAACCCTTAATTAGGTGCCATAA